CTCATGGTTACACACCACTCCGTAGCGGAGGGATAGAGACATGGGGGAGGGACAGACAGGGTAGGGCCAACTCAAAGATCACGCTTTCGAACACACACTTAGGAGAGAGGGAGAAGACCGGGGGCTGGGCCCAGAGACTGCCAGCACCACCTGTACTGGCTAGATAGCTTCAGAGCGGGGGGGGGCAGGGGGACACAGGAGACCCAGATAGAAGAAAGATCCACCACACTTGGCCCTTTGGGGGGAAAGGGAAAAAGGGTCATGCTCAGGGGCACACAGATAACGGCGGGGGGATTCAACGGTGCCGACAGGTGCGGCGCGTTCGACTCCTACCTAGCCCACACCCTACTCTTTTTTTGGGGGGATAACCCACAAGGTTTATTGTTGATTATTACTGTTGCATTTGTTATTTATTGTTGAAGGTCGCTCCTGCCCGCGGGGCTCACGGGGACGAGCCTGTGACCTTAGACCCGCCCACTAGACGTACGCAAAAGCCTTCTGCACCCACCCGCACTCCCCAACCCTATCCACCACATCCTGATAATTTAGAAACGTGACAACCATGCCGCCCCACAACACACACAAACAAGCAGAGATAAAATTCCTCTCCATTAACACTAAAGGCATGAACATTCCCTGAAAAACGCTTGCATGCTCTACGCCACTTTCATAACCAGAGGTCACAGGTAGTTTGACCCAGAGGGGAAGTCCAAAGGCACAGCAATACTGATCCATAGGTTGCTACACTTTGCCCCCACCGACACACTACGAGACAACCACGGACGATATATCTGTGTCAAAGGAACAATCGCAAACCGCACATACACGTTCGCGAACCTGTATACCCCCAACAAACGCCAACACCAATTCCTGCACACAGCACTAAAAACAATTGAGGGGTTCGCGGAGGGCTGCCTGGTCGTGGGAGGGGACCTAAATGTGGCCCTGACACCGACTATAGACACATCCATGGGGTTCTCCTCGACTCCCTAACACATCTTAACTAACATAACGAAAACGCTGAAAGAGAGGCAACTGGTAGATTGCTGGAGAGAACTACATCCCGAAGACCGCGACTATACTTTCTACTCCATCCCCCACATAACGTACTCCAGAATAGACTACTTCCTTATCCCACATTACTACCTGACTGATATTCGACGAACTGACATTGGAACAGCGACATGGTCCGACCACGCCCCAATCATGATGACACTAGCCTCCTCACTCTACAGGCCCACTTGCAGTAATTGGAGACTCAACTAATCTATACTAAATGACTTAGCAGTGACAGCGGAAGCTACAGAAAGACTGACGCAATACTTTACAGAAAACGATACATCTGATGTCACGCCTCTCTGCCTCTGGGAGGCTCATAAAAGCGTAATGAGGGGCCACTTCATAGCGAAAAGTGCCGCACTTAAAAAAGCCAAAACCGCCAGACTTAAAACCCTAATAGCGGACATACAGACATTGGAACATAGACATAAACAAACCCACCTGCCAGCAGACTGGACGCAACTGACGGAACTCCGGAGAGAACTTTCCTCCATCCTAAACGCCAATCACAATAGAGCCTACCTACACTCCAAAGCATTCTTCCACACTAACGCTAACAAATGTGGTGCCTTCCTTGCTCGCATGATCGCCAAAAAGAGAGCGGCGGCCTACATCCCGGGGATTAGAGACAGAGATGGGAGGCTACACAGCATGCCGACCGAGATGGCCAACGATATTCGGACATACTACGCGGACCTATACTCGCTCGATCCACACAGGGGAGAGGGGGACAGGGCAGATAGAAAGACAAGGATAACGGAATACCTAAAACCGCGCATTGGTAGCCGCCTCTCACAAGAGACAAGCTCAGAGCTGGACGAACCAATCGAGACACACAAGTTGGCGTGGGCTCTCAAAACAGCCAAGACGGGCAAGAGCCCGGACCAGACGGCCTACCTACACGCTACTATAGAACCTTTGCGGAGCTCCTCATCCCACGCCTCACGACAGCACTTAACACGATCCGAGAAGGGCAGCAGTTCCCGACGCAGACTTTGGTGGCCAACATCGCCTTGATACCCAAAGAAGGGAAAGATCCTGAACAATGCGCGAATTACCGCCCAATATCACTGCTAAACTGCGACCTGAAGCTGTTCACCAAGATACTTGCACAGAGACTACAGGCCCATCTCCCGAACTTGGTGCATGGGGACCTGGTGGGATTTACTCCACATCGGGAAGCATGGGACAACACGATCAGAGCGCTATCCCTGATCCACACCGCAACAACCAGACAGGAGGGCCTTCTCCTGCTCTCTACAGACGCGGAGAAGGCCTTCGACAGGATCGCATGGGACTTTATGTTCCAGATCCTTGAAACACTAGGGATGGTACCATTTATGATGTCCTGGATCAGAGCACTGTACTTGCAACCAACAGCACGGATCTGCATAAACGGGGCCTTCACTGACCCCTTTTTGATAAGGAATGGGACTAGGCAGGGCTGCCCCCTCTCCCCCCTGCTCTTTGTACTGGCCCTGGAGCCATTCCGAAACAATCCGGGTATCCCGGGGTTAAAGGCAGGAAACACTCAGTAGCAGCAAACGCGGACGATCTCATGTTCTTTGTAACTAAGCCGGAAACATCCATACCCGCGATAATGAAGGAATTTGAAACATACGGGGAGCTTTCGAACTTTAAAATCAACTTTTCCAAATCCACAATCCTCAACGTCTCCATCCCGGGACCCAGAGCGGCGGCCCTCAAATGGGAACTGCCGTTTCAATGGTCTGACACCTCTCTGAAATACCTCGGCGCGGTGCTAACGAAAGACCTTTCCCAACTATACGCGGCGAACTTCCAACTGCTCCTAAATACCATACAGAAGGATCTGCAGGAATGGGACCAGGTCCGCCTTTCGTGATTTGGAAGAGTGGGAGTGCTCAAAATGAACATCCTACCGAGGGTTCTTTACTTGTTCCAGGCCATCCCTGCGGCCATCCCGGAGGCATTTTTCACCTCCCTCAGATCGTTGGCCCTTAGGTTCACCTGGCAGAGGCAGAAGGCGAGAATAAAACATGACGTGCTCACACTGCCGAAAGCCAAGGGAGGCCTAGCCCTGCCAGACTTTAAGAGATATCATAGGGCCACACACATCCAAAGGATAGTGGAGTGGTCCAAACAGGGGGTAATGAAACTTTGGAAAGATGTGGAGTCAACACTAGTGGGGAGACCGATAGCAGTCCTCCCCTGGCTAGACCCCCAACAAGGCAGACAGCTAGCAGCCCCACACCCTCTAATTAAAGCAACCATGCAGGTGTGGCAAACATTGGCAGCACCACTCTCACTCACCACCACACCGTCCCCAATGCTGCCCCTAGCTCATAACCAGGTCTTCCCAGCAGGAAGGGAACCGAGGACACTGGTTCAACTACTGGGAAACGAAATACCGAGGCTCTGCCACGCCACGGCCGCATCAAAACACTAGAGGCCATGACGGGAAACTCCAATCACTCATTCATGCTACAATTCAGATACCGACAACTGAAAGGGTTCATACACAAGGCCATTCAAAATAATCACGCCCTCAGACCCCTAACAGCGTTCGAAGAGATATGCATGGACCCAAACCCAATGGTAAGGGGCCTATCAACACTCTATGGAATGATCATGCGGATGAGGAGACTACCACCCCCAAGCTTCATGGGGAAATGGGAAACAGTTCTAGGCACCACATAGGAGACACAGCCACGATAGAACACACTACCGCTACCCAAGCCAGAATAGCAGCAGAAAACCCCATTCAGAAGAGAAAATAGCACAGTCAGTAAAAAAGGGGGATAAAACATTTTTTAGATACATAAATGAGAAAAGAAAAGTATAACAAGGATTAGTTAGATTAAAAACAAAAGAAGGAAGGTATGTAGAAGAGAATAAAGGTCTAGCTGACTGCCTCAATTAATATTTTTGTTCTGTATTTACAGATGAAAATGAAGGAAAGGGACCTCAGTTGAGAAAAAGGATAAAATGAGTCATACACGAGTTTACAGAGGAAGAGGTTCTATTTCAACTGTCAAAAGTAATGACAAATAAGTCAATGGGACCTGATGGAATACACCCAAAGCTATTAAAAGAGCTTAGTGGTGTACTAGCAAAACCATTAACAGATTTATTTAACCAATCATTGTTAACAGGAGTAGTCACAGAAGATTGGAAGTTAGTGAATGTTGTGCCCATTCACAAGAAAGGTAATAGGGAGGAGTCAGGCAACTATAGGCCAGTAAGCCTTACTTCAGTAGTGGGGAAAGTGATGGAAACCATGTTAAAGGATAGAATTGATGAACATCTAAAAACACATGGATTTCAAGATCAGAGACAACATGGGTTTACTTCAGGGAGATCATGCCAAACTAATCTTATTGATTTTTTTGATTGGGTAACTAAAATAATAGATCAGGGTGGTGCAGCAGACATTGCTTACCTAGATTTCAGTAAGGCTTTTGACACTGTTGCACATAGAAGGCTTATCAAACTGCAATCTTTAAGTTTGGATTCAAATATTGTTGAATGAGTAAGGCAGTGGCTGAGTGACAGGCAACAGAGGGTTGTAGTTAATGGAATATATTCCAAAACTTGGACTCGTCACCAGTGGGGTACCTCAGGGATCTGTACTTGGACCCATTCTCTTTAATATTTTTATTAGTGATATTGCAGAAGGTCTTGATGGTAAGGTATGTCTTTTTGCTGATTATACTAAGATATGTAACAGGGTTGATGTTCCAGGAGGGATAAGCCAAATGACAAATGATTTAGGTAAACTAGAAAAATGGTCAGAATTGTGGCAACTGACATTTAATGTGGATAAGTGCAAGATAATGCATCTTGGACGTAAAAACCCAAGGGTAGAGTACAGAATATTTGATAGAGTCCTAACCTCAACATATGAGGAAAGGGATTTAGGGGTGATTATTTCTGATGACTTAAAAGGTAGGCAGACAATGTAATAGAGCAGCAGGAAATGCTAGCAGAATGCTTGGTTGTATAGGGAGAGGTATTAGCAGTAGAAAGAGGGAAGCGCTCATGCCATTGTACAGAACACTGGTGAGACCTCACTTGGAGTATTGTACACAGTACTGGAGACCGTATCTTCAGAAGGATATTAATACCTTAGAGAGGGTTCAGAGAAGGGCTACTAAACTGGTTCATGGATTGCGGGATAAAACTTACCAGGAAAGGTTAAAGGATCTTAACATGTATAGCTTGGAGGAAAAACGAGTTTATAGACCGGGTATGTTGGAGTTCATGTCTGTATACAGTTATGTAATGATTTCGTTTACTTCACCTATTGTGACAGGATTTCAGCTAGGCCCCAAATCTACACGTATCTATCTGTATATAAAGTAATACGTAGCCAAGTTACAGTAATCAAATGTAATTAGCATGTGCAAGACCTGAAACCACATTCCATTCTCTCCTAGTACTATGTTACCTATCCATATAAGGTAATCCTGTGTATACTGTTTACTGATTGGTGTAAAGGTACAATTTTGGGATGTATAGTCTACAAAAAGCCTGTAATTCAAAACTCCAGAGCTCAGACTTGGACATGAGTCTGCGGTTACCCGGCCTGTTACAATAAACCTTTTTTGCTTCCTGAATCGACCGTGTCCAGACTCTCTTTGCTTGGCTTCATCAGCGTTTTCCTATAACATTTCTGGTGCATTGGCCATGAAGCCATCGCGGAGATCATCGAGACCGTGATATTTCATCAATCTCTCTACAGCTACATCCCTGGTCCGTTACTGCCTGGACCTACAGTCATCTCAGGCGCCACTGGGCATCTTCGTCCAGGAGACCATCGGCTTCTGCACAGTGTATATCAAGGTGACAAGTCAAATTTCGATCCCGGGTCCAGGAACCAAAGGAGAAACTAATAGGGGTAATATGTTTTGATATACCTGGGTATTACTGTTGTCTGGCCTTTCCCTCTGAAAAGAAGAGAGACCTGATAACTATCTGGTAGCTAAAGTCTGGTCTGTAAAGAGACAGTTTAGTGGACTACTGAATTGTAAATAATGTGACTAAAATATGGGGTGGTTAAGACGTTGGTCTATTGTATAGCTTTTTGGTGGGAGGGAGAGGGAGAATTTGTATTTTTTTTTCAAAATTTGTTGGCCGGGCAACCGCACCACGTTACGGATAAGGGGCTTTGTGTACCAATCATAAATTTGTTTGAACATTTTGTTATTTTGAACCGGACTATCTATTGTAATAATGGGTACTTCTGATTCTAAAATTGCTGATCCGTTAATATGTATTTGATAAATCTTTAATAAAGGGTATGCAATTCATGATTATGGTGTAATGCTGTCCCCCTAAAGATTGAATACTCTGTAGCAGGGAATGACCTGTTTTGGTAACCCAGTGGCCCTCCTGTGGTAGACTTGACCCTGATTTACTACAACGGGTTCATACTGATATTACCAGTATGCCGGGACATTACGACCAATTCCCATATATAAACTGTTGGAAACAAATTGTTGAAAAACAACCTAAATGGATTAAGTTGTGCCACGAGGAACAATGTCGCATCATGGTTACCCAAACCCGTGCTGAAGTGCCATCGCACAGTCAAAGAATTATAGGATGACTTCTGTTAGGATGTATTTCGTTTTGCTTGCCTTAGTGTTTTAATATGTATGAAATATGTAGAATCAGATCTTATAAGTTGTGACAGTTGCTTTAAGACTACGAGAACAGTCAAATATCCCAAACTCATCTGGCATTCGTGCATGAGCATGTGCAAGACCTGAAACCACATTCCATTCTCTCCTATCCATATAAGGTAAACCTGTGTATACTGTTTACGGATTGGTGTAATGGTACAGTTGGGGGATGTATGGTCTATAAAAAGCCTATAATTCAAAACTCCAGTGCTCAGACTTCGAGACACGAGTCAGCTGAGACCCGGACGGTTACAATAAACTTTTTTTGCTTCCTGAGTCGACCTGTGTGCGTGGTTTCATCAGTGTTTTCCCGTAACACAATATGTATTATACATTGATTTTTTTTTTTTGATTTTTTTTTTAAAGGATAGAGAGAACTTTGTTGCAGTACCCCACCTTTACATTTAAAAAAAGCATTATGTATGATCAAAAAAAAACAAAAACCCCACAATGTTACTTTAATTATATATATATATATATACACACACACACACACACACACACATATATATTTGGATGTTATGGTGCAAAGATTGCAATGCAATAACTACAACTTAAAGGTAGACACAAAATGTGGTATGGTAGAATTATACATTTCACAGCAGTCTTTGAAACCAAAACTGCCACACAAAAGTATATATTTACAGAATTTAA